CCTTTCCACTATCAACTGCCTCAACAATGCTAGAAAAAAAGATAACAAATTTGTTAAACATGAACGGCCATTTATAAAACCATGTTGCGACTCAATTATTAATTTATGTTTTTCAAGATGAAGACGAATTTTATTTGCTATTATAGATTCGAGTAACTTTCCCACAATAGACGTTAGGCTAATTGGTCGATAGTTAGACGCATGTGATCTATCTCCTTTCTTAAAAACTGGTATCACATTAGCAACTTTCCAAAACTCTGGCACTCTGCCTGACTCTATTGATTTATTAAATATGGTAGACAGTGGGTCACAAAGCTCCTCTTTGCATTCTTTAAGCACCCTGGCAAACACTTCATCCGGCCCTGGGGATTTGTTTGGCTTGAGTTTTACTATTTGTTTAAGAACATCCTCCCTGGTAACTGCTAAACTCGTAAACCTGTCCTCGTCCCCACCCTCATAGACTTGTTCGGTTGAAGGCATATTGTTAAGTTCCTCTTTAGTAAACACAGATACAAAATATTTATTAAAAATACTACTCATCTCTTCATCACTAACTGTTATTTGACCTGTCTCAGTTTTTAATGGACCTATCCTTTCCCTAGTCCTAGTACGATATAACTGAAAAAAACCCTTTAGGATTTGTCTTTGCTTGCCCTGCTATGCGAACTTCATAGTTTCTTTTTGCTTTCCTTATCTTTTTTAACATTTCTACCCAGTTGTACGAATTCCTGTTCTAAAGTGACCTCCCCATTTTTAATCCTTTTGTACCAAGCTCTCTTTTTACCTATAAGGTTCTTCAAATTCTTTGTTATCCACTTTGGGTCATGGGTATTCGATCTATTCAATTTGTATGGTATACTACGTTCCTGTGCTTTTTTTAGAATATTCTAAAATAAGTTATATATTGAACCCACATCGAAATCCCCATTTACGTCACCAATCGCTGGGTTCATGTCTCGCTCCAAGACCGGCCCCCACCCCATACCCAAGACTTTCCAATCAATTTGACCCAAAAAATGTCTAAGGCTATTAAATCAGCTTTTCGAAAATCTGGCACTTTAACAGAACTTTCTCCTACAGGTCTATTCCATTCTATGCTAAATCTGATTTCTTTGTGATCACTGTTCCCTAGCTCACTCCCTATTTCGATGTCATTAATTTGTGTTTCCCTGTTAGTTAACACTAAATCTAAAATATTATTTTCCCGTGTTGGTTCCTTAATGTGTTGCATAAGAAAGCAATCGTCAATTAATTCTAGAAAATCTTCTGCTTCACTATTCCCTGTTTTGTTCAACCAGTTTATTCCACTAAAATTAAAGTCACCCATGACGTAAATACTGTTAGATCTAGATGCTTTAGATATTTCATCCCATAGATGCTTTGCTTCAATTCTGTCTAAGTTTGGTGGCCTATATATAACTCCTATTATAATATTATTTGCTTTTTCGTATAATTCTATCCAAATAGTTTCTGTGTGTGGCTCAGTTTTGATTCCCTCTTTGAGACTACATTTCAAATTGTCCCTAACATATATGGCTACTTCCCCTCCTCGTCTAATATATCTATCTGTGTGAAATAGTTTTAAATCCATTTATTTGATATTCAGCTAATAGTTCTCTATTTTCTACATTCATCCACGTTTCGGTAAGTGCAATAATATCTATTTTTTCTGTGCAGACAAGAGCATTTAATTCGTTAATTTTATTTCTTAGACTTCTACTGTTAGTGTAATATACCCCTAAGTGAATTGTTATTTTGAGGCCCTTCTCTTTCCCTGATCATTTTGCCAATTCCTTTTTCCCACAAACACATACTTTTATTATCTCCTTCCTCCAAATCAATTCCCATACCTCTATCAGCTAACAGTTTAAACCCAAACAAACACCTCTAACCACTTCTTCCAACGAGTTCGCAACAGCAACAACCCCAGCTCTCGATAGATGCACCCCATCACGAGCATACATTCCATTTCTTCCATAGAAGTGTTCCCAGTTGTCTATGAAAGATATTGCATTTGATTTGCAATATCTTTCCAGCCGGCAATTGACACCAAGTGCCCTCGATATCCATTCATTTCCTACTCCCTTTCTTGGAAGAATGCCACATATGATCGGGATTCCTCCCTTGCTCCTAACTAATTCAATGGCTGTCCTGAATCTATGTATTAGTTCCTCTCTCCTAACTCGCCCAACATCATTACCCCCTGGACATCATTACCCCCTGAATTTATTAATTTATGTTTTTCAAGATGAAGACGAATTTTATTTGCTATTATAGATTCGAGTAACTTTCCCACAATAGACGTTAGGCTAATTGGTCGATAGTTAGACGCAAGTGATCTATCTCCTTTCTTAAAAACTGGTATCACATTTCCAAAATGTATCACTGGTATCACCACTTTCCAAAACTCTGGCATTCTGCCTGACTCTATTGATTTATTAAATATGGTTGACAGTGGGTCACAAAGCTCCTCTTTGCATTCTTTAAGCACCCTGGCAAACACTTCATCCAGCCCTGGGGATTTGTTTGGTTTGAGTTTTACTATTTGTTTAAGAACATCCTCCCTGGTAACTGCTAAACTCGTCAACCTGTCCTCGTCCCCACCCACATAGACTTGTTCGGCTGAAGGCATATTCAGCCTATTCAGGCTGAATATGCATTCACAAGTTACTTGAATGGATAATTGCAAATAAAATTCATCTTGAAAACACAAATTAATAAATGAGTCGCAACATGGTTTTACAAATGGCCGTTCATATTTAGCAAATTTGCTATCTTTTTATTCCAGCATAGTTGAGGCAGTTGATAGTGGTAAGGATTGTGATGTTGTGTACCTTGACTTCAGCAAAGCTTTTGATACAGTGCCACATTAAAGACTGGTTAAAAAAATAGAGGCTCATGGTATTGGGGGTGCTCTATTAAGTTGGATTAGGGCATGGCTATTCCAAAGGAAACAGAGAGTTAGTATAAATGGGGTTAAGTCAGTGTGGGAAAATGTTGTAAATGGAGTGCCTCAGGGCTCTGTCCTGGGATCTCTGTTGTTTTTGAGATATATTTTGAGATATATACAAGAGTTGTTACATTCTTGTACAGTCACTAGTACGCGTAGCGTATCGGGCAAGTCCTTAATCCTATGGTCCCTGGAATACGATCCCCTGCTGCGAAGAATCGTTTTTTCATCCAAGTACACATTTTACTGTTGCGTTAAACAGAGGCTACAGTTAAGGAATTGCGCCCAGTAAATCCTCCCCGGTCAGGATACGAACCCATGACATAGCGCTCGCGGAACGCCAGGCGAGTGTCTTACCACTACACCACGGAAACTGTACAAATGGGGGAAAAGCGTATCGGGATTATAATATATATCAATGATTTAGATTCAGGTTTGAGTAGCAACATTTGCCGATGATACAAAAATCGGCAGGGAAATTAACACGGAAGAAGACCCACTATCATTTCAAGTTGATCTAAATAGGGTTTTGAAATGGTCAAATGATTGGCAGATGCAGTTTAATGCTGATAAATGTAAAGTTCTGAGGCTAGGTAATGACGATAAAGTTACGAGATACGAGCTAGATGGTGTTGAGATTGCGAAGTCGGATTGCGAAAGGGATCTGGGAGTTATGATTAGTAAGAATTAAAAAAAAAGGATCAATGCATGAATGTTCGTAATAAGGCAAATAGGACACTGGGATTTATTAATCGAAGCGTTAGTAACAAGACACCTGGTGTGGTTCTTAAGCTATATCTTGCTCTGGTTATGCCTCATTTAGATCATGCAGTTCAGTTTTGGTCGCCTTACTATTGAATGGATATAAATTCACTTGAACGTGTCCAGCGTAGGATGACTAAGTTAATTCCCTAAATTAGAAACCTTTCATATGAAGAAAGATAAACAAAGCTTAAATTGCATTCACTGGAAAGGCGAAGAGTTAGGTGTGACATGATAGAGGTTTACAAATGGATGAATGGACATAACATAAGAACATAAGAACAAAGGTAACTGCAGAAGGCCTATTGGCCCATACGAGGCAGCTCCTATTCTATAACCACCCAATCCCACTCATATACTTGTCCAACCCGTGCTTGAAACAATCGAGGGACCCCACCTCCACAATGTTACGCGGCAATTGGTTCCACAAATCAACAACCCTGTTACTGAACCAGTATTTACCCAAGTCTTTCCTAAATCTAAACTTATCCAATTTATATCCATTGTTTCGTGTTCTGTCCTGTGTTGGACAACAAAGGAGATAATAATAGGGTATTAAAAGTATCAACACAAGACAGAACCCGAAACAATGGGTATAAATTGGATAAGTTTAGATTTAGGAAAGACTTGGGTAAATACTGGTTCGGTAACAGGGTTGTTGATTTGTGGAACCAATTACCGCGTAACGTGGTGGAGGTGGGGTCCCTCGATTGTTTCAAGCGCGGATTGGACAAGTATATGAGTGGGATTGGGTGGTTATAGATAGGAGCTGCCTCGTATTGGCCAATAGGCCTTCTGCAGTTACCTTTGTTCTTATGTTTAATGCCGGGAAGAACAAGGGGTCAAGGATAGAATCTAGAGACACAAATTAGTTTCCGAGACGTCAAAAATATCATGAATGTATTAAGGCGGTCAATAAGTGGAACAGGTTATGCATAAAACCTTGATTGAAAATTGTATATGTAAATATGACAAAAGCGTGAAAAATGAGGCATTGCATTAATAAAAGAACAATTGAACTAAGCTTGGAGCTTAGATCGACCATGCATGCACATCTAGGTGAACATCCACACATACCGACGTACTGACACACACAACTAAATTAATTAATTATAAAAAAGAAACAAATTTCTTGAATTATTAAAAATATTTTATTCAAACTTGTAAGCAATTATCAAAAGCCACCAAGCCACCAGTCTTCAGTTGGTATCATATTCACCGTAAATTATCACGATGATAAACCTTTTTATGGTATTCACTCTGTTCAAAGTAGAAGTTCTCTAGATCCCTATAGTTGATCCCTATAGTTAGAGGAAACAATGTAAAAGTTCCCTCGATTAGGCCTCTGATACTGCTGGTTAGGGTGTTCACTCTGTTCAAAGTAGTTTCCTCGATTAAGCCTCTGATGCCGATCATTAGGGCGTTCACTCCGTTCAAAGTAGTTTCCTCGATTAGGCCTCGGAAACTGCTGGTTAGCGTGTTCACTCCGTTCAAAGTAGTTCCCACGATTAGACCTCTGATTCCGCTGGTTAGGGTGTTCACTCCGTTCAAAGTAGTTCCCACGATTAGGCCTCTGATAAAGCTGGTTAGAGTGTTCACTCTGTTCAAAGTTATTCCCCCGATTAGACCCCTGATTTCGCTCAATAGGGTGTTCACTCTGTTCAAAGTAGTTCCCTCGATTCCGCTGATTAGGGTGTTCACTCCGTTCAGAGTAGTTCCCACGATTAGGCCTGTGATACAGCTGGCTAGAGTGTTCACTCTGTTCAAAGTTATTCCCCTGATTAGACCTCTGATTCCGCTGATTAGGGTGTTCACTCTGTTCAAAGTTAATCCCCCGATTAGACCCCTGATTTCGCTGATTAGGGTGTTCACTCTGTTCAAAGTAGTTCCCTCGATTCTGCTGATTAGGGTGTTCACCCCGTTCAAAGTAGTTCCCACGATTAGGCCTCTGATACAATTGGCTAGAGTGTTCACTCTGTTCAAAGTTATTCCCCTGATTAGACCTCTGATTCCGCTGATTAGGGTGTTCACTCCGTTCAAAGTAGTTCCCACGATTAGGCCTCTCATACAGCTGGCTAGAGTGTTCACTATGTTCAAAGTAGTTCCCACAATTAGGCCTTTGATTCCGCTGATTAGGGCGTTGGCACTTTTCCACGCCGGGACAGCCCCTTTTAGGGCCCGGATTTTTTATCTTTGTGTGTGCAAAGTTGACAGCTTCTGGAGGATTCCAATGAAGCGTTTTACGGTTCAAAGTCAAACAAGTTTTGCCTAATTTTTCATGTAGACGGTGGAGCAGGATTCTAAGTGACGGGCGCCTCTTAGGGTTGGGGTGCGTTGCTTCCCGGAATACCTGTTCTAGTGATGGTTGTTGTGCGGGCGACGCCTGCAGGATCTCCTGCATCAGTACTCCGTACGAGTAAACGTCAGATGCGTATGTACTGCATTCTTGTCGAAGGACTTCGGGGGCGTATGCTGCGGGACATTCTGGGTCTGCTTCGATGAAAACGTTTACATTGTTGGCACAGGCAAATCCAAAGTCAATTATACTTACTTCTGGATTCTGAGGCGGGCCTTCGACCATAATATTATTGCTTTTTATATCGTTATGCACAAAACCCGCCTCGTGAATTTCCAGTAATTTTGCGCCAATCTGAAGCCCGACGTCGATTAAGCTGTTGATGTAAAGTGGGTTTTCGTATAAGTCTCCAAGCGTCTGGCCACCTTTGTAGGTTAACAGGAGAGCTGGAGGCTCGTTAGCAACTCCCAGCAGAAGAGGAGCTCCACCAGTGCCGCGCAGTAACGACAATACTTCGGCTTCGCTGGCGATAGTTTCGGAACTGGAAGGAGAGTTGGCTACTTTAAGAGCTGCTGGCTTTCCCTTCCACTTAACAAGAGCAACTTCTCCATGTGCTCCAGAGCCGAGACACTTAGTCTTGTACTTAAGCAACCGTTTCACGAGATCTTCGTTAAGCTGCTTCATTTTCAAATTACGAAAAATGTAGCACTGAGCACCTGAAGTATCCTAAACCCTGAAAAAAAAATTTTTCGCTCTTAATTTCTTGGAAGCGCTAATGAGGCTGAAAATGTAAACACAGATCAATATTGTGACGAGGTTTTGATCCGTCTTTGATGTCTGTCAAGTCGTGCAATGAGCCGAAGTGCTGTTGTTGTTTAAGATTCAGCTTCAAGGAACAAAAAGTTCCAAACAGCATGGGCTATGGTGAGCCCGTATTGGACTTATCTGGCACATGAGTGTGACTGTAACTCTAGGCGAAGTGCGAGGGAAAGTTAACATATATGCTGAGAGGGTAAGGTGAACGGTGAGATGGTCGATCCAATTAAACTTATAATATAAATAATTGATGTTGTTTCAGGATTCCAGAGTTACAGTCACACTCATGTGCCAGATAAGTCCAATACGGGCTCACCATAGCTCATGCTGTTTGGAACTTTTTGTTCCTTGAAGCTGAATTTTCAGGATTCCCCGTCACGCAGGGTGCAGTTGCGCCTCCACAGATCTCCAGTATCATCTTTTGATACTGGTAATGGCTCGAAAGGGCCACCACTTACGGGCTATTCATGCCCGTGCCACCTCTTGGGTGGCTTAATCTTCATCAATCATCAATCAATTTCAGGATTAAATTCTTGATAGAGAGGGTGATCATCCACACCCAAATTACACTCCTTCCGCGCCGTGGGAAGAGCCTACTTTCAAAATAGTAATAGAAAGTCTCCCAATGAAAAAGGCTGCCTATGATCCGACAATCCTAAGGCGCATAATAGAAGAGCAAATGTATAGCATAGCAGTAGGAGGAGCCACCCACATCTTCGCAGACGGATCGGTGGACACGGAATATGAGAGTGCTAGTGCTGCTCTTTGCACGGCCAGCGTACAGGCATATTGGAGACTGGGAGGACTAGTATCATCAACCCAAACTGAGCTGTTTGCCATACAACAGGCATTCGCATATGTGATTGCACAAAACACTCAAAATGCAATCATACACAGACTCAAAAGCTGCCCTTCAAATATTAGGACAAAAACAGTGGAAAGATAATGTGGAAATAATTACCACCATTTTGTATCTTGGAGCAGTCGCTAAAGGCAAAGGACTGAACATAACTTTAAATTGGATCCCATCCCATATTGGAATCCCATTAAATGAAAAAGCTGATGAAATTGCTAAATTGGCAACTCGTCATCCAGTGATACATAAAACAATTCAACCCAGCCTAGAGAACATAAAAAACATCATCACCAAAAAACTCTCACATCTCAACAAAGCCTACCTATACCAGAGAATAGCTGAAGGTTCGCCATCTGCAACATGGTATCTTCAGGCAACCAAATTAGAAAGGTTAAATATCCCAAAAGGAATCCACAGGGAAATAGCAGTTAGGTTATATAGACTACGTCTAGGTTACAGATGCAACTGGGAGATTGGTGAACCCCGACAGAGAGAGTGCATCTTCTGCCAAACTGTCACAGAAAAGCCATTACTTCACTATCTTCTGGAATGTGAAGCAACCAAAGAGCTTTAAGAGTTCCTGAATCATGCAGTGGCCACCCTGAAGCCATCAACACAGCCACTCTCCTGGTCAACAAAGGTGTCCAGCAGCTGGACACCCTCATAAAGACTGTGAAGCCTTATCCTCCCCCGCGATAACAGCTTGATGGTTAAATGCAACCTCAGAGTACTGAGAAAAAAAATTGTACCACTTACGGGCTATTCATGCCCGTGCCACCTCTTGGGTGGCTTAATCTTTATCAATCAATCAGGATTAACCGGGAGACATCTCCCGTCACGCAGGGTGCAGTCGCACCTCCACAGATCTCCAGTATCATCTATTGATACTGGTGATGGCTCAAAAGGGGCCACCATGTACGGGCTATTCATGCCCGTGCCACCTTTTGGGTGGCTTCATCTTCATCTTAACACATTCACGTGGGAGACATCTCCCGTCATGCAGGGTGCATTCCCACCTCCACTGATCTCCAGTATCAGCTCTTGATACTGGTAATGGCTCAAAAGGGCCACCACTTACGGGCAATTTATTCCCGTGTCACCTTTTGTGTGGCTTAATCTTCATCAATCAATCAATCAGGATTAAGCAACAATATTTGCAAATTGGCCTACGATACGAAAATTGGGAGGGGAAATAAACACGGAAACAGATTCACTATCACTATAAGACGATCTAAATAGGTTTTTGAAATGGTCAAAAGGGTGGCATAGGAACATAAGAATGAAGGTAACTGCAGAAGGCCTATTGGCACATAGAACATAAGAATATAAGAATAAAGGTAACCGCGGTAGGGGGGGGGGGGGGGGGTAGAAATAGCCTAAGCTACTCTATCTCTTATTTAGATAGAGTATAGATGATGTATTTCTGTATAGATGTATTTCTTTCTTGTCTCAATAAACATACTTGAACTTGAACTTGAGGGTAACCGCAGAAGGTTTATTGGCCCATTTGAGACAGCTCCGGGACAAATATTGTAAATAAAGTAAAATATATATAATTGATAACTGCAAAACTTTTATGGTAGGAATGACATGTATGCTCGTGATGAGGTGCATTTATCTAGGGCTTGGGTTGTTGCTGTTGCCAACACGTTGAAACCTGTGGTTGGAGGGGTTTGTTTGGGTTTAAACTGTTAACAGATAAAGGTATGAGCAATAAAAGTATGTGTTTATGGGGGAACGAAATTAGCAAATTGAACAGGGAAAGAGAAAGGGCTGAAAATAACAATACACCTAAGGAATATTACAAGAACAGTAGAAATCTAACAAGCAAAATAAACGATTTAAATGCTCTTGTCTGCAGAGAAAAATAGATATCATAGCACTTACCGAAACATGGATGAATGTAGAAAACAGAGAACTATTAGCTGAATATCAAATAAACGAATTTAAAAAAAATCACACAGATAGATATATTAGACGAGGAGGGGGAGTAGCCATATATGCTGCGGAAAACTTTAAATGTAATCTAAAAGTGGGAATAAAAACTGAGTTACACACAGAAACAGTTTGGCTAGAATTAAAAGAAAAAAGCTAAAAAACTTATAAATGGAGTTATATACTGGTCACAAAACTTAGACAGAATGGAAGCAAAGCATCTGTGGGATGAAATATCTAGAGCATCTAGGTCAAACAGGTTTTGTGTTATGGGTGACTAAATTTTAGTGGAATAAACTGACTTACAAGAACAGGGAATAATGAAGCAGAAGATTTTCTTTAATTAATTGAATTAAAGATTGCAACGATTGCATCCTTAAACAACACAGTAAGGAACCAACCTGTGAAAATAATATTTTTGACTTCACATTGTTAACTATCTAACAGGGAAAAAACAGTCGTGACCGGTCCGTGGTCGTGTGCGGTCACAGTGTAAACACTCGTGGATATTGTGAAATTGTGTTCAAATGTTTCAGTTATAAAGTGCATTTGCTTGGTGGGGAAATGGCAGAGGCGGTCTGCCTAATTGACAGACAATCCTGCACTAGGATAGACGATTATGAAAGTCAGGATTACATTCAAGTACAAGATGATATCATGCCATATCAAATAGCAATGACCAAAAAGAAACGGCGTAATTTTCACAGACAGCGAGACAGTGACAGTGAAAATGAAATGAAAAAACGACAGAAAAATTGCTGTGATCTACGACAGGAGAATCCAGTGATGAAAACTCCCAGACAATCTTAACAGGAAACCCTAATGAGGACGCAAATGTACAGGCAGTCAGATCAGTGATCGATTATGCCTCACCTGCACTCACAAATCTATCACACCAACAGTGGAAAAAGCTTGAAGTTGCCCAAAACAATGCTATGAGAGCCGCACTGGGAGCCCCCATGTGGACCAGGCTTAAAACTCTTAGACTGGAGACGGGTTTGCCCTCTCTACAAGAAACGGGAGGCATCTCCCGTCACGCAGGGTGCAGTCGCACCTCCACAGATCTCCAGTATCATCTATTGATACTGGTAATGGCTCAAAAGGGCCACCACTTACGGGCTATTCATGCCCGTGCCACCTTTTGGGTGGCTTAATCTTTATCAATCAATCAATCTCTACAAGAAAGAATATCACAAAGGACAGCTACAATTATCAGTAAGATAATTATTTCTTCTGATCCAATCCCAGTACGGCAGGACTTGGTGGTTGGACTAGGCCAAAACAATGGAAACTCTTGGGCTGCAAGAGCAGGAAAAGTCGTAAACAGACTACATTTAAAAAGCATGATTCTTGATAGAGAGGGTGATCATCCACACCCAAATTACATTCCTTCCGCACCGTGGGAAGAGCCTACTTTTAAAAGAGTAATAGAAAGTCTCACAATGAAAAAGGCTGCCTATGATCCGACAATTCTAAGGCGCATAATAGAAGAGCAAATGTATAGCATAGCAGTAGCAGGAGCCACCTACATCTTCACAGACGGATCGGTGGACACAGAATATGAGAGTGCTAGTGCTGCTCTTTGCACGGCCAGCGTACAGGCATATTGGAGACTGGGAGGACTAGTATCGTCAACCCAAACTGAGCTGTTTGCCATGCAACAGGCATTCGCATGTGATTGCACAAAACACTCAAAATGCAATCATAAATACAGATTCAGAAGCTGCACTTCAAATACTAGGACAAAAACAGTGGAAAGATAACGTGGAAATAATTACCACCATTTTGTATCTTGGAGCAGTCGCTAAAGGCAAAGGACTCAACATAACCTTAAACTGGATCCCATCCCTTGTTGGAATCCCATTAAATGAGAAAGCCAATGAAATTGCTAAATTGGCATCTCGTCATCCAGTGATTCATAAAACAATTCAACCCAGCCTAGAGAACATAAAAAACACCATCGCCAAAAAACCCTCACACCTCAACAAAGCCGACCTACACCAGAGAGTAGCTGACGGTTCGCCTTCTGCAATATGGTATCTTCAGGCAACTAAATTAGAAAGGTTAAATATCCCAA